ACCAAAGACACGCCCAGTGCCGATCAATGCACTTCCGTATGCCAGCCGAGCTTGAGTTAAGCATCGGGGACTTACCGGGTAGTATCCGAACGGTTTGTGTCAGCGGAGGCTTCGTTGTGTCACTACTGCTGTACAAGTACCTCCATATATGTCTATCATCCATATCGTGCATCACTCGATGTTTTCGGTTAGTTGCAACATTGTTGTATTAGTAGGCACAAAAATGAGCATCGTTAGAAGACATATAAAAGCGAATGCGAGGTTCGATAATGGAAACCATGGCTGTCCCGTGAAAGAATGCATTAGCATAGGGCGATCTGGCAGAAGGTCGCGTGAAGCGCCCAACAACAGCCCCTTTCACCGCTATGTGTTTGACGGGAAACGGAATGAGGGGGAAATGAATCGATTCAGGTATAGCTCTGACAACTCCACAAAAGAGCTCCTTGAGACGACTACACCACCCCGTACTCAGACTGGGAAGGTATGTGATTCGTGCGGTATTGATAGTTTCAATATCTCTGAGCAATCAGGGTGCAAGTCTTCTAGTTGGTGAGTAGGTAGCTCCCACGATTGCATAGCCCTTGACGGATGATGCATTTCTGACATAGGGTTATCCGCTACGCTCTGCCACGCTGATGCCATGACGCGAAAGCATCCACCCTGGGCGTCTATACGCGTGGCCTTCCCAACAAGAGAACTCTTCTAAGCCCCTTGCATCCCCAGTCGTCTTCTAGAGAGTGACATTCCACCTCGTGTGGCTTTATCGGGTCACCCCTGCGGCTAGTACTGCGAGAACAGAAGCGCCACACGAAGAGCATCCGAAATATTCGTCAGCGCTGGATGTATAGGCACCGCGATCGGATACTATCGCTTGAAAGCAAGCCGTTCTGGGGACGAAAGGGCCGATGCGTGGTGGTGGAGACGCATATTGGTTTGCAACTTTGGGTCAACGGACGCCGTCGATAAGACACAACATGGCCGGTGAAGACGACTCCCTGTTTCCAGAACAGGGGATTCAGAGGATTGAAAACCTCGCACGCAGACGCGCAGCTATCTTGTGCTCTTGGTACAGGTATGTAATCTGGATAAAGACTGGCATGCATCGTCGGTGTACGTGCTCGGTTATGGTCGCTCGTATATGGACTCTTTATTAATCTGTGCGCAGGTCCCTTATCTTCAACAGCTCGTACTCGAGATGAGAACGCTCACAGCTCGTTGCCCACCGTTTGGAACACTCCATCTATCCCGACGGTACAGCAGTTGGAAGATGAAGTGAAGTGAAAAACGCACGGATGTTTTGTCGACGGATCCCCGCTGTGGAAGCCGGCAGCACCCATTTCTGATTGCGACACCTAGCCACGCTTGGCCGACTTGTAACACACTTCCATTTACCGGGTCGAGTCCGGACTCTACGGCACTCAGGGAGTCATGATGACCGTTGGTGTATGGGGAGCCATTGAGGTTCCAGTACACGGGTGTGCTGAGAAGCGTCGGAGTCCTGCCGAACCCTGAGCGAGTTCAGGCTAAACCGTTCCAAGGGGTCCGAAGTTTGTCCCAGAACGTCACATGACCGTGTCGGATCTTCAGAACCCTACGGCCCTGGGCTTACCCACGACGGACCGAGTCGTCGCAGCGACGTTCGAATCTGTTCGCGTCACATCACGAAGCAACGAGCTCCCAGCAAAGACTCTCGGCTGATGATGGATATGCGAGGATGCGAAAATAGATGTTTCGATGCCGCCGGTGTCGCATCAGCCTCGCGATTCGTTGTCACTGTCAAACGCGAGTCTTCGCAGCGTCATACCTGGTGCTTCACCAGCAGAACTCAATGAGATACCAGCATTACTCGCGGTGGACAAAAAAAGATGTTTCGATCTCGTGAAACGGGTGCGTGCTGCACGAGAGGCGCTGGAAGTTTGGTGTTGCTCGGTCGGCCCTCGCAGCTCGTGGGAATTGTCCAATCGCAAGCGCCCCTGCCCCCTTCGGCCCCTCTGTCCGACGGTCTGTCCCTGAGGCTCAGGCTCTCCTACGGGGACAGGGACCACGCTACGGGACAGATGCGGCGCAGGTACACAGTTTCAGCCCTAGGACTCACGACTCCTGGGGGCGATGCTGAGTGCCGAACCGGACGCTTCGAGTTGGGGGAGTGGTATGGATGTTGGGATACCGGTGGTGGAGCAGATGGAAAAGAGCTACTCACTGAACGCGGTCTCCGCTGGCGTTCCGAATAGCGAAAGGGTATATATGTACTCGTCTTGACCGTGGAAGGGAATTATCATCATCACAACCACTCTCATCACTACTACAAACACCTTCACACTCCTCAACTCAAAATCTCAACACCTCAACACATCAAAATGGCATCAATTGAGCAGACATGGAGCCTTGCTGGCAAGGTCGCCGTTGTTACCGGCTCAGGTAAGCTTCATCATACCCAAGCTTCACCTCCCATACTAACAAACATGTAGGCCGTGGTATCGGAAAGGCGATGGCTATTGAGCTCGCCAAGCGTGGCGCAAAGGTCGCCGTCAACTACGCCAACGCCGTCGAGGGTGCTGAGGCAGTCGTCAAGGAGATCAAGGCACTCGGCAATGGCTCAGACGCCGCTGCCTTCAAGGCCAACGTTGGCAACGTCGAGGAGTCTGAGAAGCTGATGGACGACGTTGTTGCCCACTTCGGCAAGCTCGACATCTGCTGCTCCAACTCCGGTGTTGTCTCTTTCGGTCACTTCAAGGACGTCACACCCGAGGAGTTCGACCGTGTCTTCACCATCAACACCCGTGGCCAGTTCTTCGTCGCTAAGGCGGCTTACAAGAGGATGGAGATGGGTGGTCGCATCATCCTTATGGGATCCATCACCGGTCAAGCTAAGGGCGTACCCAAGCACGCTGTCTACTCCGGTTCAAAGGGAGCCATTGAGACATTCACTAGGTGCATGGCTATTGGTAAGTCACATCATGCTCACTTCCACTTCATCTACTGACCCAACCTAGATGCCGGCGAGAAGAGGATCACCGTCAACTGTGTTGCACCCGGTGGCATCAAGACCGACATGTACCACGCCGTCTGCCGCGAGTACATTCCCGATGGTGACAAGCTCAGCGACGACCAAGTCGACGAGTACGCATGCACATGGTCCCCTCACAACCGTGTTGGTCAGCCAGTAGACATTGCCCGCGTCGTCTGCTTCCTTGCTTCCCAAGATGGTGACTGGGTCAACGGAAAGGTCATTGGCATTGACGGCGCTGCTTGCATGTAAGCGTGTTGTCTTTGATAAAGCATGTTTTCTTTGGATATTTTCCGCAGTCACGAGCTAGCATGTATTGGCGTTCTTCTTGAGAGAAGAAAATAATGAAATTTTACACCACCTCCATTCTCGCTTGAGTCTTCCATTACTACTGCAATGCAGGATCTGGCAAAGCAATTCTCTCTGTGCACACCACTACAGTGTTGTGGTGGTGTGGAACCTCGCAGCGCGGCTTTTCTGCTTTTTCGGTCCAGGTCACCCCAAGGATGTATTAACAAGACTCTTGACCGCCAGATCTGCTACTTCACCGCTGTCTTCATATCCTTTTTCGCGCCCGAGGAAAGATATACCACCATTCACCACCGTCTTGACGAAAGATGCCCCGCCTTCACGAGTTCGACTAAGACTTCACCGTGTTTCTTGACGGCAGCTCGCTAGCGGCCTCCACAGATCATCCATGGGGACAGGATCAGCGCATCTACTAGGCATTCGCTCTAGCATTCTAAGAGTGCCTTACGCGAGTTCGGGACAGGACCGATGACTAAGAAACAAAAGATTGAAGCTATGCAGATACATCAGTACTGATGGTGGTATTCTTGGTATGAGCCTTGTGCACGGACGTTACCCAGGTAGGCAAAGCCAGATCGCTCCCAGAAGGTCCACCTTCGCGTGCGCGCCGCGTGGCCGATTCCACCACGACCCGGACTTCCGTCGTAACATCACCAGCCCCGAACCTTGGGGCATCGCGTAGTACGCGCTGGAAACAATAACGCGCAAGCGACACTGTTTCAAGTCCTGGAATGAGGTCTTGAGCGGCGAAGAGGCGTCTCGACATTTACCTACTTGGTTTTCGAAAGGGCAGCCCCTCCCAGATCTATACCTAGGTAAGCGCTCACTTAAAACCGAAAATAGCCAACAATTACAAACAAGACCAAGACCCTCTAGCGGACGAGAGGAATGTCATACTGTGGCACAGTACTCAGCTGTTGGACCTGTGTGGTGTTTCCATCGTCCATTCCTGCTAGGCGTCGACACGTGGGTCACCATCGCAAGGGCGCATGCGGAACATGTTCAATGAGCATCAACCAACACTACGAGCTGCAGCGAATGTTGTGATTACGCCCGGAATACCCTCTACAGTGGACTTAGTCGAGGCCTAGTAGTAAAATGCTGACGATTGCGCTGTTCGTTGTTTCTCGTGGTGGAGCTAAGCCACGCCCTGGGTCAGCTATTTCAGCCGCAGTGGCAGGGTTGCTGGACGCTTATTGGAGCTGTGTTTAGCAAACGCTGGAACGTTTTCTATCCGAGATGGCCTTTGCGAGTTGTGACCTGTCTATCTTAGGCATCCTGTCATACTATTCTCCGCATTCTGGTCGTGTGAAGGGCCTGATGCGACACTGCACTGACGAAAGATACAGCTTACCATCAAACGGCAATTTCACCAACCGAGGGCTATGTGTAGAACATCAGCAACCTTTGATTTGTGAGTACTCTCGCCAGACGAGTATATATCTAGAGAATATCTTGTCTGTCAAGTTCATTTTCATCTTCAATACATCACCTTCACAGCATCTTCATCACTACATCTGCATCACATCTTCCACACCAAACTACTCTCTTCACAGCATCCACAGTCCTATTATCGTCGATAGCACTTCATAGCTCGTCTCTGCTTCCTAGTCATCATCGCTTTAGTCGCTTCCTTGCCAGATCACCACTCCTACAACATCAACAGATAAACTCATCAGACAACATGGTTGCCTTCACATCGCTCGCCTTGACAGCCGCTGCCCTCGTTGGCCTCACCGTCGCCGTGCCAGCACAGCCAGTCCGGCCTACCGGAGTAGTCCACCGCGTCTTCGCTGGCTCCACCACCGCCAACGGCGGCCTACATTTCGAGCCCGAAAACGTAGTCGCAGAACCCGGCGATCTCATGGAGTTCCACTTCCTCCCCAAGGCGCACACTTTCGTGCAGTCCTCGTTCGACAAGCCATGCGAGCCTCTCGGCGGCGACAACTCCATCTTCTCTGGCTTCAACTTCAACACCACCGCGGGTGAAGCACCAAACGTCTTCACCTTTACGGTGCAGGACACGAACCCCATCTGGTACTACTGCTCTCAGACAAACGGCAATCACTGTCAGAAAGGCATGAGCGGAGTCATCAACCAGAACTTCAACTCCGACAAGACGCTTGCAAAGTACAAAGAGAATGCGGTCAATACCGTCACCAAACAACCTTCTGTTGACCCGCTTGCTTCTCAGGGTGGCTCGATCGTACCTTTGTGAGCACCTGGTGTAATCTGCCGCATGTAGCATGGGCGGCGTGGTGACTACGGCTGATATTAAGGACGGTCTCTTTCTGCATATTTTTATTTTCGCATCACATAGTTGACTTTCTCTCTGCATGGCATCGGCGTTTTGCATTTAGTCTTTAGAATTGCTCTACACATTTACACACTAGAGTAATGATATTGCTATCGTATTATGATTCCAACTCCTCTGTGCCGGAAATACTTTTGAATACATCATTGCAGAATGCGACATTGGTTCTAGCCGCCTTGAGTGCCTTTCTTTACCCAAGATTAATGTCCTAACCCAAAAGTTTGCTCAGAATGGATGTTGCTTCAAACTGTCGTCAAGTTGTGCCCGCACTTCTTTGACGTTCTTTCTGTGTTGCGCACTTCCAATATGGGCAAACAATTGCTTTGCATCTCGCCTTTAGCACTCATTATCTCAATCAGCCGATGCCATCTTTTCAGTTGTAACCTCATAAGCAAGACACGTGTCTAATTATCCGAAATCTCCCCCAGAGTCTTCTCGATAGATCACTGGAAGTCCCATCATGGCACGAACCAAAGCCTGCAAAGCGCGTTCTAGACCTCCCTCTCGCAGCCGCATCACCAAAGTGACCTCGGGACGTGGGTCTACAGTGGAGTCACTCCGTGCATCGACAGTATCCGTTGAAGATTACAAGGATAAGAGAGGTTACTTGCGCGACATCGACAGAGAAGAAAGCACCGTAAAGGTCAAGCAAGAAGACGAAGATACAACAGAGACAAACGAAAGAAAGATATCTCCGAAGAGACGGGCTCGAGAAGCCACACCAAAGACTTCTGTGGCGAAGAAACAAAAGTCCTCCCCACCTGCTTCCGTCACTCGTCTTACGCGCTCCAAGACTTTGCCTTACAGGAGAGAAGCGAGTAGTACCCGGTCTGATAGTGAGTCAGAGAGTGATATCGAGACCGACGCACGCACCAAGATGCGCTCCATCAACTCACCTCTTCGCCTATTACGCCCATATATGGCCTTCCAACTATCCATCTCTGGACTTTCGGGCAAAGCATACAACGCCGCACAAGCATCGATGAAGTCCGTCCTTGACGTCGCAGAGAACTTTGAGAAGCAGTGTGGTGGAACGCTTGCAAGGGCACATGACAGCCTCAGCAGTAGCAGCAGTGTGGATTCTGAGGAGCGAGAGTCACCGAACAGACAAAAGCGAGGAGAAGAGAGACAAGTGTTCAAAGTCGCGAAGCTAGGAGCAAAGAGAGACGACGACGTGTTACCGAGAAAACAGCAGGAACTGAATGAACAGACGAGGAAGAGACTCGCGCAAGAGCGAAAGGGAAGAGGGAGAGCAAGACGAGATCTGAGCGACGATGATGACCCACCCGCCCATTCCTCTTCGAGTTCATCTTCCACCACGACCTCCGAAATGGCAACAGAACTAGCCAGTGACACCGAAGACGAAGCCAAATACCCGCCAATCAAGTTGCTCTCCGTATCGAGCACAACCTCAATCTACGACTCGCTCCGCGCATCGACAACGGATTCTGGCGAAACTAGCTCGGTAAGTTCCTGCCTTTAGCCTTTTCAGGGTGACGATGGTGGTGATGATGCTGATCGACAAAAGTAGGAAGGCGAAGAAAGCGATGTGATTGAACGCCGCGAGAAGAACGCACTGCGGAGGCAAAAAGCGAGACAGAAGAAGCGGAATGCGTGGAAGAGGGAAGAAGTCGAGTCGGCGAGCGAGGCAGAAACGGAAGTGAATATTGTTGAGAAGATGGAAGAAGAGAAGATGGCTGTGTTTACGGAAAGTGATTGTGGGAGGGAAGTCACGGTAGATTTCTGTCCGATAGCATGGTGATGGTGCTTCGACCATAGACCAGCATGATAAACATTTCCATATTTTATCCGGCTTACAGGGAGCTATCACATCTTGATCCTCAGACCCGTGTTTCCTGTCCTTTCTGTGCCTGATCTCCCGCTGGTGGCACCCATACTGTCTGCATCGCTATCATCATCTTGATAATCTTCTTGTTCATCATCCATGCTGCCCAGTCCTAGCGTGCCGACTTTGAACGTGTTGCCGCACCACTCACTAAACACGTCCGGATCCCAGACTCCATCTTCCCTTCCCTTACCCTTCGTGCTTCTGCTCGCCCCATTTTGGTTGGAAAGAGATGGCGAGTATGACGAGTCGTACCAGTCTTCGTATGCTTGGGTGACAGATTCCATGACAGCAGCTACAAGCATCTCGCGTGTACGAGCGTCGGTGATGTATTCTTCCAGCTTCGATCTCAGGAACGGCGTCTCATGCTCAATATTCTGCCGGATCTTGCTCGTGCGCGCAGGAGCTTCACTTACAGGCACCTTTTTGTTGCCTTTCGTATCGATCGGTGCCGTCATTCTAGCGACGAATTGACCAGTAAAGTCATTAATCGCTTGGCGCAGGCGAGCATCCACTTCAGCTTTGGCATCCAACATGTTCTCTACGACCTTGGGTATCAAAAGACCGACGAGATTCCGCGGGTTGAAGAGGCCGCCCCGAGCACGCAGCTCCCAGAAAGTATTCGTGAGGCTCGCAAAATTGTACTGGACTTCAGTCTCTGGCGTGACGAACTCGATGTCGAAAGCTACGATTTGTTGTTTGAGGAGAAGGAGGTGCGATACGAGGAAGAGGGCGGCATCGGTGGGTGAGGCGGATTTAGCAAGCAACGTGCTAGCTTGAGCGAGAGAAAGCGTGGTGCTGTGAACGATGTGATGAGCCAGGTCATCGAATACAGAGGACTAGGAGCACATTAGCATGAGGAAGGACATCCGAGCGTTGAAGGACTTACGTGAACAAGCCTGTAGATTTTGCTGAGCAACCAGATCGCTTTGCGCAATGTAGGGTACCAGTCTTTGAAGGCCGCTTCGGTATTGAAGTTCCACCGCGCATCTGGATCGTCGTCTTCGACTATTGTGGGCGTCTTCGGCATCAAAGGGGTGGGTGGGACTTCGGACTTCGGCTGCTTCTTGCCAGACAAGACGGGTTGATTTGACTTCGTCCCGGAAGTGGCGTGCTTCTTGTTCTTTGCAGGATAGTCGAGGTCTTCTGGTTTAGGCTTGTATCTCTCAATGTCGTCTCGCAGGATCGCAAGCGACAGGAAAACCAATCTGTTTTGTGCATCTTGCAGTGCGGGGTGTACAATGACAGAAAAGTCCAGCTTGTTCGCCTCAACCGGCGACTCCTCCTCCTCTTCCTCCATGTATCGTGTCTGTATCAGCGTGCAGAGTTCGCATAGCTTGAGTATTTGTGTCTCGTGGATAGTGCGCGGTCGCAGGTAGTCGTATAGAGGCTCGCATACAGCTTCGAGGAAGTCGTACAATCCGCCGTCGCCCTCAAACCACTCTCGCCATAAGTCGCACTCGTCGAAACATATGCCACGTATGTAGCTTATGCTGCTCCTCGCAAAGGCTACGAGATCCGTTGATGTGCTCGGAGCTTGTGCGATCTCTCCGATTTTCTTTGTAACGATGGGAAGTATAAGTCGGCCACGGGTAGCTGAGTAGCTCTGGTACAGCTCGTTCATCAGACTTTGGTATTCGGCTTCTCCGCCCGGCGCTGCTCCAGCTGGCAGTACTGCGCGCTTTTGTATCTCGATGCCTACACTCTTCAACTCCGGCGCGCCGACGCGAAATTTAGCATACAGCAGCGCAGACATGGTGGTGTCGTTCAGTTGTCTGTCCGCTATCCGCTTCGACACATCGGCTGCGATTTCTCGAAGCGCTTCGGTGAAGTGGACGCGGATGAGGGTGAGGGCACGAGTAAGGAGTAGTCGGTATCTGGATCGGTACGTTTCGGCTTCGCGATGCTTGGAATGCGCCTGCATGTATTCCAGGCAGCTGTCCAGGTTGGCCAGCATCTCGACGAATTCTTTACCCCGCACAATCTTGCCTGCGCCCGGAGCATTGAGCCGTTTAGTGGTAGGTTCGAGGTAGAGGTAGTATCGTAGATTCTGCTCCATATCGTCTGCGAGCTTCGTAATGCGCTTCTGGTCGTCGATGAGGCCCTCGCATTGTGTGCGGAAGGCGTTCGTCTGGGCTTCGACGATCTTGAAGGATTCGGAGAGGGAGGAGAGAATATCGAGGGTCGATGTCGTGTCGGAGATGATGTTCTCGAGGTGGTTTCGCGTGATGTGTAGTTGGTTCTGGTAGAGCCTGTACTCCTCGTGGCTGGCTTCGAGCAGCTCATCGCTGACGCCGCCATACCAGTCGGCAAACTCCAGCTCGGTGCTGATGTCCTCACGTGACTTCTTCTTCTCGAGTGCCCTTTCCTTCTTCAGATGGGCCCGCACGACGGTGTAGAAGTCGCTGTACGACTTGGCGCGTCTGGCCACGGTGGCCGGTGGAGGGCCATTGAGCTTGCCGGGTCGATCGTCTTCTGCTGTTTCCGCGATGGCCTCTGCGCGCTCGAAGTCAGCCTGACTCTCCTGCAAGTACAATCATCAGAAGTGCTCAGACGTACCCAGGCAGCGGATGGTGGGCTTACGTTCTCCTGTTTAAGCAGGCTCTCTCTGCGGCGGTGCTTGCCCTTCTCCTGGGGCTTGGCGGTGCGCGGCACAAAGGCAGTGTACCACGAGTCTGCCTCGTACATTCTGGCGCAGTTCGGGGGTTGGTGGGTTTGTTGTGTGTAGACAGGAAACACGACGCAGCTTCCACATGTCGGAGCTCGGTGATGCTCGTGGGGGTCCAGCAGGTGGTGCTAGGCCCGAATAGCGCTAGACTCATCTGTCAGTGTGGAGCAAGTCTAGAGCGTCATTGATCACGCAGCTACGATCTAGAGAAACTATCCAAACTGTCCAATTACCAATGCTCCAACCGTAATCGGACCTTCGATCGTGCTGCAAATGTTGCTCTCTTGATCTATCCAGACGCCCACGGGACGACACCTGCCACTACGAGCCCACCACCCCAACTACCACACTATGCTCAGCACAAAGTGTGTAGCACGCGCGACCCTCCGA